TGTCTCTTATACACATCTAGATGTGTATAAGAGACAGCCCTTACCTTGTCGATGGCTGGGAACCGCGATGGCGGGCATTGGCGGGCGACGGCGAGGTCAGCGGGGTCACGCGCGGTGGCGTGCGTTGGCAGGTGCTGGCGGCGTCGAAGTTCCGCGTCGAAGTCCAGCTGAGCAACACAACTGCAGGGCAGGGAACAGGGGAACCCGTCTTCCCCCGAACACAACGCACCCTCATTTTAGCTGTATCTGGCCGGAAATCCAACTCATATGCATTCATTTTTAGGGTGCGTTATGTTCGGGGGAAGATGGTAGGGGGTACACCGTGAGAATGGGGGAGGGAACGGGGGCGGTAGTTCCCGCCCTCACCGATTTGGAATCGCGGTCATCTGGGTCGTCAATTTTTTAGATCGACATCGATTCTTGAGATCGACAATCCAGATCGGGCCCGATTTCGAATCGGTGAAATCGGGCCTGCTGGCCCCCTTTTTTTTCCCGTGGTCTGCATAGTCTGCCATGAGGGCGAAAAGCCCCCCCGCACAGAAAAAATAAAATAAAAAATAAACCTATGCACTGGGGGCGCCCGGTGGCCAACCGGGCGTGACAACCGGCCAGGCGGCCCGGCCCCCCCCCCGGGGCGACGACCAGGCCGCTGGACGGCCCGGGGACCAGCCTAGTTTTTTAAACTTTTTTTTATTCTTTAACTTTTTTTTTTTGGTTTGTTATCGTTCTTGTTTTTTTTTTTCCTGAAATAAAAGAGAGTTCCTTAATTTTTGTTTTCATTTCCTCATTTTTTTTTTTTTTTTTGAAGTAGAAAATAGCTTTGTAATTTTTTGCCATTCTGAAGTTCTGGGCCGATATTTATTTAAAATCGGTCAGATACTCTACAGCGGTAGGACTTGTGGCGGTCTAGTGTAAAGAGATCTCTGGTGCTACCTGATGAGCGGAGAATGCAGCGAGACTGAGGATCTAGTTGACCCCAGGTTTACCCAAAGGATTGCATGTATAGTCGTCCAGGCTCGTGCCTGTTTTTTTTTTTTTTTTTTTTTTTTTTTTTGGAAAAACATCGCACTTTTCATTCCAAAAATGTTTGGGGACGAGAGGAGGCTAAGGAGATAGTCCGACAACAGGAGGTGGTTGGGCGGGATACCGCACATTGCTGGACTAGGAGAATAGATGCTGCAGCCCATGGCCATGCGGGCTTCAAGTCAGAGCACCGAGAGCAGTTCCGGGCAGACTGTAGGTGGAACAGCGCGGACTGGTAGTACGGTAGTCAAATGGCTGGCTCGCACTCAAGCCAGTCGGTTCCACTCACTGTGTTGGACTTAGAAGTCCAACAGGCTGAGGCCACTCATGCGCAGTTAGGATCCCAGCTTCGGGATGCTGAGGACAGGGCAGATAGAGCAAGGCAGAGAGAAGCCCTACAAGGCACTAGGCAGGCAGATAAGACGGCATTAGAGGAGTTGGACAAGAATGAGCTCAGCCAAGCTGAGCGTTTGCTGAAACGGAATCTTCTGGGTATTCCTGAGGCGCTGGTTTCGTTAGAAAGCAAAGTAGATTCTCGACTCTTTCGGCCAGGACGGGATTCTCGCAGCATTAAGAGCACCAGGGAGACCAGTCCCTGCTACCGGTAGTATTACGCAACCTGTAGTCCAGCCCGTAGGGCCGCCACCAATGACTCTGCCACCCTTGTTGGTGCCTTTCAGACCTATGTATGGGATACAACCAGCTGGCGGTTTTGCAGTGGGTCCATCGCAGACCCAGGTGCAACCTTCTTTGTCCATTGCGCCCGCAGCTACAGTGGAGGTACAGGCATCCTCATCTGCAGGGCCTGCAGGTAGGGGACGGCCCCCGTACGTCCAGAAGGGGACAAAGGATGAGAACCTTGATACGTGGCTTTGGATTGTACCTGTGTACGTTAGGGCGAAAGACACTCACTTAGACAAGGAGGTGATTGTCGCTGCATCCTTTCTGAAAGGCTTCGCAGCTAGGTGTTGAGAGCATGTGATCTAGTCAGCAGTACATTGTAGGGGTAGGCCGGATGAGCTGCCACTATCACCCTCAATCGGTTGATTGATCTTGTGGAGGCCAGCTGGCATGACTGCCAGCAGGCACAATGGGCTTTAGACGAGATGGACTTTAGTGCCAAGGAGGTCACCAAGAACATAGAGGAACTGATCGTGGTCCCCAGTGTTTGTTATGAGCAAGAGATCATCTTGACCACATACCTGAGATGTTTGCCAGAAAACATCAAAGGGCTGCTGTCAATGAGGCCACTACCACCAGGACTGACATCACGATTCACGAGTCTCCGCAAGATGGCACTCTACTTGGAGGCAAAGCGAAGTACTGCTAGTCCGATGGCTGTTGTGGGCAGAAGAAGAAGTTGCCCCAGGACTGGAGGAAGAAAGGAGGATACCCCCTCTACGTAGATGCTGATGAGGATATGGAGGAGGTAGACCCTTCAGACCTGGAAGAAAGTCTAGAGACCGGTACCAGCCAGGATGCCTCAGAGGGAGGGGCTCTGGCTCTAGCAAAGGCTAAGGAGGCTGGTCCTTCAAAGGGAGGTCAGTCCAAGGGTCAAGGATCATGCACTAAGGTCCCAGGTTGGGCCTTGAGGAAGACTTGTGGAGGTAGAGGTTCTATAGGGGTGTGTGTATGGAGTGTGGGCAATATGGCCACATTTGGTCTAGTTGCCCTAATAAGAAGGTCCTGCAGAAGGTGCCGCCACAGGTAGCACAGCAGTCACAAGCTGCACAGGGAAACACGTCCAGCCAGTACAAGTTGTGATCGCTTCTACAAAGGCCGAGGGTGCAGATGATCCCTCGACCTCTCAGCATAGGATGGCTTTGGTCACTGACCCTATTATCACCCCGCATACTCATCCGGACAATGCAGTGCTCTCTTCAAGGAATAGAGGAACTAGGTCGGGAGTGGTCTCAGGAAGACCTACTAGCTTCCTATGATGATGACAGAAGGTCCAATTTGGGAGCTGATCGTGGTAGACGCAACTGTAGGCGATATTCTGTAGCCTTGCGTATACAACTGTAGGCGATATTCTGTAGCCTTGCGTATACCTGCGATGATGTGCGATCACGCCCTTCTTGTGTGATATTTGAACGATCCGTGTGGTTTGGTCTTCCGTATGCCGGCGATATCACGTTCATGAGGGAAAGAGCGATGGAGATGGCAGTGAAACCATGGATAATAGCATATGTGTGCGACTCTGCGAGATCACATGCTTTTGTGTGCGGCATCCGAAACTGGTGTGGTCTCACAGTGTGCGATTTCGGAAATCTGTGTGGTGTCAGACATTCAAAGGTAAGATCAGTGCAGAAAAAATGCTGTGCAAAAATGATCCTCTGGCTAGGTCTACAGGACTATTCTTTTGAGAGGACTTCTTGGGACTTAAGGGAGGAAGAGGGAACTCAAACAGAGGAGAAATACTGGGGAGTAGGTGACATTTCTGGTGGCACAGCGCTTGGAGCTGCTCTTCCTGGAAGAGGATTAACGTCCCACCCTATTGGCATGGGTATGCAGAACTCCCCCTGGAGGACTCTTGGGGGGAAAAGGGGGCAGCTCCTCAAACAAAGGGGACCTGCGTTTTTGTGTTGATGACACGTCTGGCGACGTCTCACTTAGCACCTGGCATATTAGAATGATTATTGGGTCTGCAGACTCTGCACTGACTCTGCAGCCGAAACCATAAGTCAATTTTTTTTTATTTTTTTTTTCCAGATTTTGAAGTTGATGGATATCTGGTTGAATGGCTCACAATCGTTTTGTTGTTGTGGCCTGGTGTGATTGGGATATGTAAATAAACAGGCGTTGCTGTTGTCACAGCCACAGAGGCACTTATGTGGACTGATGGACGGTACTTCCTGCAGGCTGAGAAACAGTTCGTGGGAACTGAGTGGAAACTCATGAGGACCGGTGAGGACCCTGCTTTGGAAAGGTGGATGGCGGATGTAAGTCTCTTCCGGCCTTGACATCGGTTCTCTGTCTTTTAACTGAATTTCAGAGGTCAGCTGCTTTGTCGGCGTGATTATCTTCCATTCTACCAATGATGCCGGCCATGCTTTCTATGTCCGCACATACACATCACAACAGGGGGGGAGGGGAGGGGCGTGGGTGTTGAGGTGGGGGGAGAGAGAGAGAGAGAGAGAGAGAGAGAGAGAGAGAGAGAGAGAGAGAGAGAGAGAGAGAGAGAGACAGGAAAGAGGTTGCATTGAATTGAACTAATTTTAGTCAGTACACCAACCAATGAAACTTCTTGGCAGTTTACCTTGGTTTCCATTCGATCTATCCACTCGATCTACCCACTTGCAAGTTGCAATTGGATATTTGAATTTTGGTTTCAGTTTTGCTTGTTCAGTGAAATTGCAGTCAAGCATTGATTGAATTTGGTTCCTTTGCATTTCACCAGTATGATGGGCATTGATTTGTAATTTTGTGTTTAGCATGTTGCCCATTAACAAGAAGCTACGCAATTAACAAGTATGGTTGGGAAAAACTGTCAGGAGGGAAGTGAAAAGAGAGCAGAAAGGTCAAGCCGTGTTGTGTTCCTTACTGTCTCCGCGGCCCTTACAGTGATCTGGAAGCTAAAGTTAAATCTAATTCAGTTTACATTATTACAATGGTACAATCCAATAATTCCGTTTTCGACTTTTCAAGCTTTTTGCTAGGTTTCATTGCTTGGGTGACTTCTCCCAGCCAGTGTATATTGATTCGACCTGTTCTGTTTGTGGATTTTGATTGGTGTAGAATCTCCCACCGAAGTCGAGGGTTGGCTTTGATCCTTCCTGTGTTTCAATCGACACAGTCAACATCTGGAGCCGAGCGCTCGAGAAGGCAGGGCATAAGACTGTGGCAGTGTCACAGAACTTGATTGATCTGCTGTGGAAAGACAGGCCTGCGCCAAAGATAACGAAGGTGGTGGAACATCCCATTGAGTTTACAGGGAAGTCCACCAAAGATAAGCTGAAAGACCTGAGACTGGAACTTCGTGAAAAAAGAGCGTTTGCAATTGTTGTCACAGGTCTGGATGAGGTGAGCCACACTTCTGCATGCGTGCTTCGGTGCACTTGAGGATGTCTGCTGACACTTTCTTTTCTTTTTGTGGCATGCGTGAGTAGTTCATGGATGCATATCATGCTTGTGTGTGTATGAAAAAACGATTTATG